ATCTTCAGTAATTTCGGGTCTCAAACCTTTAATTACGTCCCGCGAAAAATTTTCGTATTGTTTATTCATAAATGGTCTTTGTCCTGATGTGAATTCCCACATCAACATTCCAAAACTGTATACATCAGATGCCTGCGTAAATGAATGTTCTTGGAAAATTTCGGGTGCTATGCATGTCGCTATCCTACATATGTTTTCTGATGTGGAAGCTTCATAAATATTTCGGCATAAGCCAAAATCCGCTATTCGAACGGATCCCAGGTCTCCCAACAAAACGTTGCCCGAGTGAATATTACCATGAATTAATCCATATTTATGAATGTGCTCAAGTCTATACAGAAAAAAAAAAAGGATTAGGATCAATGTGGAGAATATAATGAGTATGTGATTGCATATAATGCTCACCCCGCCGCAATGTGACGCAGTTTTTCCACTTTTTCTTTCCAGGTAATTTTCTCGAAATTATTTAATAGGTATTGATAAAGACTTCCATTTTCTGCATATTCCATTACTAACATATAATCATTTGTGTCGAGGTTTTTTGTTATTCCAAAACATTGAATAATAAAGTTATCGGTTTTTACGGTTTTATTAAATATCACCTATAATACAAAATTTGAGTTAATCGATGAACGAATTACTGTATGTAAAGTTCACATAATTACCTCTTGTATCAAATCAATTGTAGTACTTCCTGAATGACCAAGACTCTTGAGGGCCACTTTTCTGCTTTCTCCTGACTTTTGAATCAAGATTGCTTTGAAAAATCCACTCTGGGATAACTGTTCGACAGACTGGAATTGAGAATATGAAATCCAATTACTTCTGCCCTCAGCAGATTTTAAGTACAATTGAAATGCTTTCTTATTATTCTTCGTGGTTCCGATTCCATTTTGATAACAATTTGCAAGATTATACTGTCCATCAGTGTCTCCGTTTTCGGAAGATTTTTGATACCAATAAAACGATTTTTCGTCATCTTTTTCGATTCCAATCCCATATTGATAACAATCACCGAGATTATTTTGTCCGCCAGAGTGCCCACCTTTCGCGGATTTTGAATACCACGAAAACGCTTTGTTTTCATCTTGAGTGACTCCAACTTCATGTCGATAACAATTTCCAAGATTATTTTGCCCACTAAAATTTCCACCTTCGGCAGATTTATAATACCATTGAAATGCCTTCTCTTCATCTTTCGGTGTTCCGATACCATGTTCATAACAATTTCCAAGACTATTCTGTCCCTGAGAATTTCCAGATTTAGAGGATTTTAAATACCACTGAAATGATTTCTTCTCATTTTTTACAACTCCAATTCCGTGCTGATAAAAACTTCCTACAATAAATTGCCCAAGGTCATTCTCACCTTCGGCTAATTTTAAGTAAATCTGAAAGGCACGCTTTTCATCCTTTGCGACACCTATTCCATATTGATAACAGTATCCGAGTTTGAAGCATCCATCAATATCTCCACACTCGGCGGACTTCCGATACCATTCTAATGCCTTTTCATTATTTTTACTGACCCCTGTTCCATTTAGATAGCAGTCACCGAGAATATTCTTGCCAACATTACTTCCCCCTTCTGCGGATCTCTCATACCAATATATTGATTTCTCTTCGTCTTTTGTAGTCCCGATTCCGTGATGATAACAATACCCAGTGTTATATTGACTATCAGCATACCCGCCTTCAGATGATTTTAAATACCATTGAAATGCTTTTTCTTCGTCTTTCTCAATTCCAATTCCATATCGATAGCAATTCCCAAGATTATATTGGCCAAAGACGCTTCCACCTTCCGCAGACTTCAGGTACCATCCAAAAGATTTGTTCTCATCTTTGTTTACACCTTCCCCTTTTTTATAACAAAGTGCTGTATTCAATTGCGCATCAACATTTCCGCCTTCCGCAGATTTTAGGAACCATCGGAATGACTTTATATCATTTTTTGTGGTTCCAACTCCGTCTCTGTAACACATTGCCGTAATGTATTGTCCATCAACATTTCCACCTTCCGCTGATCTCAGGTACCAATAGAAAGATTTTTTCTCATTTTTTTCAGTTCCCAGACCATGCCGATAACAACAACCAACATTGTATTGCCCAAAGATATTGTTACCTTCAGCAGATTTCAAGTACCACTGAAAAGACTTTTCGTCATCCTTTACAGTTCCAATTCCATTTCGATAACAGTTTCCAACATTATTTTGTCCATCGGTGTCTCCACCTTCAGCAGATTTCAAATACCAAAAAAATGCCCTTTCGTCGTTTTTCGTGACCCCAATCCCATGTTTATAAGAATCACCAACAACATATTTTCCATCGGTGTCTCCACCTTCGGCAGATTTTAAATATGATTGAAACGCTTTCTCGTCGTCTTTGACGGTCCCTATTCCTTTTGAATAACAATATCCAAGATTATAGTGTCCATCAGTATTGCCACCTTCAGAAGATTTCAAATACCATCTAAACGCGTTCATATCATCACTTGTAGTTCCTTCTCCTTTTCGATAACAATTTCCAAGAGCACATTGTGCCTCGTGATTGCCATTTTCAGCAGATTCTAAGTAGCATTGAAATGCTTTCACATAGCTTTTCGTTGTTCCACTTCCGTTCCGGTAACAATTTCCGAGATTATATAATCCATTTATGTTCCCACTTTCAGAGGATATTTTATACCACCAGAATGCTCTTTCGAGGTTTCTCTGGACTCCAATTCCATTTTTATAACAATCACCTAGGCTACATTGACCTTGAGGATTACCAGATTCGGCAGATTTCTGATACCAAAAAAACACCTCGGCAACACCTTTTATAGTTCCAATACCATAAAGATAACATGAGCCAAGATTATATTGTCCTACACTGTCTCCAGCTTTGGCGGACATTTCACTCCAATAAAATGCCTTTTCTTCATCTACTTGAGTTCCAATTCCGTTTTGATAGCAAAAACCAAGATTGCACTGCCCGACGCGATCCCCACCTTCGGCAGCTTTCAAGTACGCCTCAAATGCTTTTCTTTTATCTGTTTCGACCCCAATTCCATGCTCGTAGCAATTTCCCAGACCACGGTATCCTTGAGGACTTCCACCTTCAGACGATTTCATATAACACTCAAATGCCCTTTTTTCATCTTTCGGCGTACCGGTTCCATGTTCATAACAATTTCCGAGACAATACTGCCCCAAGACATTTCCCCCCTCGGCAGACTTCATATAGTAATGAAAAGCTTTCGTCTGATCTTTAGGTGTTCCGATACCGTCTCTGTAACAATTCGCTAGATAATACTGCCCTTGAACATTTCCACCATTGGCAGACTTATTGTACCATTCAAATGCCCTCTTTCTACATTTCACTGTTCCAATCCCGTGTTGATAGCAAATTGCAAGGTTATTCTGTCCCTCCGTTAATCCCGACTGACCGGCTTTTATATAACACTCAAAGGCCTTGACGGCACTAACAACAGTTCCTATTCCGTGTTGATAGCAGAATCCAAGGTTATTATATGCCTCGATGTGCCCACCTTCAGCAGATTTCTTAATAAATTCAAATGCCCTTTCTTGGTCTACAGTAACCCACCTTCCGAAATAATAAAAATGGGCAAGAATAGTTTGAACCATAGGATCAACCTTATTGTCCAAACACCATTCGATTATTTCTTTGGGGTCTCTCTTTTTTTCGATAAAAAATTGATTTATTGCATCAAGGATTTCCGTGATGTTCTTTCCTTTCAATCTTTCTGCATCATAAACATCACATAAATCTTTAAGTAGATTGCTCGTCGATCTTCTGTTTTGAAACAACCTTGTCACTTTTTTAATCTTTAATAACATGTTAGCCTGTAAAATGATTCATATGATGTTCGATAATAAGCAATTGATTACAGTCGAATAACCGGTGTGATTGATATAGAAAATATTATCGAAAAATTCCTTTCTTTTAAAAATCATGAGTTATAAGGTTTTTTTGCTCTATATGATCAAGAGTATCACGAAAACGATAATGAATTATATTAATTTGGGATTGATTACTTGTTTTGGATTAGGCGTATTTGGAATGTTCTTTGAGGTGTAATGGAAAAACCCCACATGATGAAACGCATTCCTTTTTTGAAGCTTTAATTGTACTTTTCAAAAAACCCTGGATCCATCATTCCAGTTAATATGGCTGTCGTACACGTAAGGTACTGCATCAATATTGCATCGCCTTTTTAACACATAAGTGTTGAAGTACGCACGTGTATCAATTAATATCTAGTAAAATCTACATTTAGTCAACGTAGACTGGTTTTCAACTGTATTCTGTCTCTTTCTTTCCAATTTGTTTTCTTTTTTTGCAAAATATATCGATTGTGAAAATTGGGCACGGGGCATGTACTGTGGTATCGCTAAACTGATTTTAATCGGTCTCTCGGATTACAATAGGTTATCCAATTTCGGTCTGATCGCGGAAACTTCCCAAATTAGTAATCGCAGAATTATTGCATGTCAAGGTAATATACAATATTGTACTGTACGTATGCGTTTGCATGTGTGACATTGATTCGTTTTACAAACGATTGCAGAAGACCTATAATGGGGTTTAATTAAATTACGATAACAGGGTTTAACATAAATTGTGTACGTATATTACAGTATTACTTATCATTAAGATGATCATTATAGTATTGGGAAATTTGTCTTACAGAAAAAAAAACTGTAAACAAAAAAATCACTACTTGATTTGGAAATGCGCAAACCTAATTTCACAATTGCATACGCACGCACGTAGTGTGTTAACTAACCTCTCAATGAAATAGCTACAAGAAGTTTGATGATACTGCTTGGATTGTAGGCTAATTTTAGAATGTTTTATCGTAAGTAAATTCCAAGCAATGACATAATAAGATGTGTAAGGTATATTGTTTTGTTTACAAAATTTGACGTACAATATTTGATTAAGCTTTTTTATGTATCAAAATAGATCTTTGAGTGACATTCCGTAAATGACAAATTATGGAAATGACACAAAACTTTAATGTTTCCTACCAGAATTCGGATGCAACAAGTTCCGAGGAATTCTCAAGCAAGATACATGATGAAGAGTATCTTAGCCCATGTTTCCTGAAAAACCTGGCACATCTTTCTATTAAATCTCTGAATATACCCGAACCGGACAACGCCCAAGCGGATAAACTAAACACGTCGAGAATCTATATTGAAGAAAATTCTCGAGAGGGTTTGGAAGACTGTAAAATAAAAAAATTTCCTTGGGAAGAATTTGTAGAAAGAGTCGAAAACATTGTTCAGGAAAGTGGAACGAAACTTTATGGAGAAGTAGTTTGGTATGTCGATACGTATTTACAACCAATCGTCGACATGTCTTGTTAATGAAATTAGTATCATATTATTTTCTCATTAGGAAATCCGGAAAAAAAACCAAAGAAGCAATAGAAGACCTTGAAATAAAATGCCCAAAACAAGTAAATCACAACCATTTTTTGCCAGTTTTTTGAGCGATTGGTTAACAGTTTATTTACATTAGCTCAATAAATTCTATCGCAAACACCTACAAGTAATCATGAGAGATGGATATGCTAGAAGGTTGTGACCCAAATGACTGATTTGCGACATAACTTTTGTTTTGAAATTTATCTTTTTGCAACATAAGGCTTTCAAGGGATGTAGCAGATGAATTAATAAAATCTCATCAGCAATGGTTTTTTTATTGCAAAAATGTGTACCTGCGGCGTATTAAAACACGAAAGCAAAGATGTTCAATCTTTAAACTATTTTCAGAAATCAAAATATGATTTGGCAAATTAGTGAATATCCTGTTTACGCGTGCTTTGTCAGTAACATTGTTATCATATTTTTAACTATCGTATGATTTATTTTTATGATTATACAAAGAAATCAAATCAATTACAGCAATGCTCATTAATAATCAGAAATATCAAGGAGATTTTACATTTTATTTAAACATTGAAAATAAAATAATTATTTCAAAATGCAATAAATCGTTTCTCATTTTCCAAATAAATAATTTTTTTTACTATGATCGAAACCAACTACAGTATAACATATTTTGTTAAATATCTTAACAATTGTCAATAATTGTCAACGGTTAATTACAATAACATTCTTGTTAAAAATTTTAATCAAAATATTTTGAATTATTTGAAATTTGATTATGATTAAAATTGTATTTATGAATATAATAAGATTGAATTTGATGTAAACAATTGTGAATAATATGGTTTTGTTATATCATTAAATACTAGAAATATTTCAAACATCTTTGTTTGACAATTGTTATATGCATGTATACGAATAATAATTGGGGTTTCTATGGTTTATTCTGTATATTCAAATTAAATTATTATATCTCAAATTTGAAAAATTCAATTTATTTACTGAAAATGTAAAAGTCTCTTAAATATTTGTTAAAAAAACTTTTAAAGAATCAAAATTAAAAATATAACTTTATTACTCTAAAAATACAATGCTAAATTTTATATTATATTGTATGATATTAATTAATTATATAATTTTTTTTTATTATAAATTTATTGATTTAAATTTTTAAGTTTTAAATTTTTAAAACAATCAAAATATTGGTATCTTTATCCATATATACTGTAACATTATTTGATAAATAAGTATTTATTTTAAAACTTATATCATTGGATTTTATAAAAAAAATATTAATTGATATTAAATAATTGGTTGTTAAAATAATTATATAAAAATATTATTATTATATTTTTAAATTTTAAACTCTTTAAATATTTTTTCTTTTTTCTTTTATAATTTTTCTTTTATTATGTCTTTGTTAAATTTTTTAAAAAAAATTTTTTTTATTATATTTACAAATAATTTAAATTTTAAATAATATTAAAACCATATATAGCTTTTTTTATACAAAATATAAATTTAATATTTTATTATTAATTGTTAATTTATATAGTAAATCCAAATAAAAAATTTTAGTTTTAATTTTAATAATAAACAATGTTATCATGGCAATAAAAATTCAATAATTAATTATATAATATATCAATTGTTAAAAATATATTTCATTTTCTAAATCTAAAAGAATCTAAAATTTATCTTAAAATTTTTTAAAAATTTTTCATCTATTTATATTTATATATTCTGTCAAATCTTATATTCTTTGAATAATCTTATTATTATTTATTATTTAAAGTTTTAATAATTTATTATTCTGAATTAAAAATTTAATATTTAAATTTAATATTGTTTATTAAATTTTGATTTAAAATTTTAAAAAAAAAAATCAATGTATTTAATTTATGTTAAAAGACAAAGATTAAAAATTGAATTATAACAAATTTATTCAAATAATAAAAAAATTTATTTTATTATTAATTAATTACATATTAAAATAAATTTTTATAAATTATATCTTTTTTTTATAAAAATTTTTTTGAATTAATAACTATATTTTTTATTAATTTTTTTTTATATAATACAAGCTAAAAATATTAATTCCCAGGATCAAATCTTACAAATCACTTTATATATAATATATATAATATAATATTTATTGTTAAAGTTAAATCTGTTACTTTTTTGGACTAATACTTATATAACTATAAGTAAAAATCAAGGTGCTTTTGTTGTTTATATTATGAACTTAAATTAATAATTATTTATTTTCTTTCTTATGACCATTTTTGTTTTAAAAATATACTAATATCAATTTTTTGTAACTTTAAATTTCACAAAAATCTTATCTTTATTAAAAAAACAAGTAATTATTTAAAAAAGATACTAAAAAACATTGCCTTTTTTTTATTATATGAAATAACATAATATTATTAAATTATAGTAGCAAAATAAGCTTTTTTATAATAATATTATATAAGTTAATTTATACTTTTATAAAAAAATTTAATTTTATAAAGAAAAACTCTTTCTTATATATATATTTTTTTAAAAAAATTTTTTTATAGCAATTATTTTTTAAAATTAAAGAAATAATTATTTTTTCATCTTTCAATATTTTAAAGTCATTTATATATTTTTTATCTCACTATGAGAACCTTAAGAAAATTAAAGAAATATATTAATGTATTAAAATAGAACCTTTGACCAAAAAAAAAACAAATTAAAAAACTATTATTTTTCTTTGGTTTGCATAAAAAAAGGTTTATGGCAATTACTTTTTTATAAATCTTTGAGGTTCTTTCTATTTTCACTTCTTACTAATATATATTTCTTATTAAATAATCATATTTTTTTTAAAAAAATTTTACAAACAAAAAAATCAAATTATATATTAAAATTGTTTATATTATTGACTTGAAGAACTAGCAATATATTTATTATTTACTTTACACTATTGTCTAACATATTTGCTAATTACAAAAAACACAAAATTCTTTTTTATAAAAATTTTCACAATTATTTTACTTCTGTTAATTAATCAATATTTCAAACCCGATCAATTAAACACTAACAATTATTTAAACAAATTCATACTACTAAAATATCATATACTGATTCACATAAATAAAACCTTTTTTAGCAATTATTAAACAAAATCAAATTATTAACAAAAATATCAATTAAACAACAACAACAATATATTATTATTACAAAACAACAAAACAACAATAACTCAATAAATAATTATCAAAACATATGTCATTAGTATTATTATATGATCATTTTGAAAAGTACTAATGGACTTCAGGAAAGTAGAACTACTAGAGTAATATTATACATCATTTAATTTTTTTACTATTTTCTTTTTATCTAGGATTTTCATTTTTCACCTTTTCAATTTCTTAAATCCTATTTTATATAGATCTGAATAAGTATTAATAGCTGCTTAGCACTATTTATAATATGTATTGGTTTTAATATTTATTTTTCTTTATGCTTAGATAGTTTATTACAGGCAAATTAATATTAAACTTACTTATCAATTAGTCATGTAAGAGATGTTATTATTTTCTTCATATAATAAATTTTCAAATTTTACAATTGTAATAAAGTAACAATATTTACTTACTTAAAAATTTTTTTTTAATTTTATTATTACCAATTAAATTATTGAAATTTGAGTATATAACATAACAAATTATATTATATAATTATATTCTATAATTTTTTTTTAGATTAATATTATATAACCTAAAAATAAATACAATATAATATAGAGTATAGTGAATATTCATTTGTTTATTTCTAAAAACTTATCTTTAACATTATATGGTATTTCTATATTTAATAATTTTCAATATTAAAATATCATAAAATATTTTTCAAAATATTTTTTCTATAAAAATATATTCAAATATTCTAAATGTATTAATTTTTTATTTATAGATATATATATTAAAAGTATATTAATATTTGTTTTTTAATTGACTACAAATCTTATATTTTCAAATCAAAGTTTATACAAATTTATTATTCACTTTATATTTTGTAAATCCATTTATCTTACAATTTACAAATCTATTTATTTAATATTTTATGTTACAATTAATAAACTTTTATATTTTATAAACCTATATATCTAACATTTTATAAATCCATTTTCTATATTATACAAATCTATTTATCTCACAATTTATAAATTTACTTTCTTTATAATTTATGAATGCATTCTCCTTTATACTTTTATATTTCACAAATTTTTTATAACATTTTACTAATATATATTATATTCTTCGTAAATTTATTTAAAAATATGCAAATCAAATTTGATTCTTATTAAAAAAAATAATACAAATTAAGTTCAATTTGTGTTAAAGAAAAATCAGATTTGAGCATATTCAAAAATGAATTAAATATATTATTAAATGTTAAATTTATAGACAGTAAGTCTTTATTTGCATATTATATATTTTTAAATGAAAAAAATTTTAATATTAAGATTTATAGATTTATAGTATAGTAATAATGTTTTATGGATTACTAGAAGAAGTTTTAGAGTTTAAACTTACCTAGTTATAAAAATTTATCACCTTTATTATTAGTCATATTCAACCAGTCACAAATTATCTACCAAATCAAGTTAGGTTATATAAAAATAAAATTTCTGGTTTTTTTGACAATTGTAAACCAAAAACAAATTAGAGCAGAAAATATTACATAAAACAAAACCTTTGGTTTAACTTTAATAAAAGCCTATAATTCTAATTGGCATGGCAGAATTTATAGTATCATCTTTTATTAAAGTTGCCACTTTTAAATAAAGTTATATTCAATTAGTTAGTATTCAAAACTGGATTGATAAATTTTGAAATTTGTATTGAATTTTTATTAATATCAATATAATCTAAATTGATAATCCATTAATAAGAAAAGTCAGATCATAAGCCAAAAAAAAACTGCTAGAAAGATTTTTCAATTGTTAAATAAAATTTTTTTTTATTCTATATTTACAAGTAAGAAGTATAGTATAAATAAAGATATATACTTATTTATAAAATGTAAATGAGTATTCTGATAAAACCAAACAAAATGATTTAATTACCGGATTATTTTGATATAAAATTTCAAATTTTTCTGCAAAATCTTGAAAGATATTAGAAACCTCCAAAATATTTTTAATACAACTAATAATTGACC